TAGAGACAAGGATGTTGAGGAAAGATTAAGTAACTTGCCCAGGATTACATGCTAAGTGATAGAAATAGGACTGAAACCTTAACTTTGTCTAATACATAAATCTGTGATTTTTTTCTTCTGTGTAGTATGACCAGTCGTAATATTGCCAGAGGTATTTGGTATGTCACTTTTCAGCTTTAGTGTAAAATCTTCATTAGTAGAATGAAATTTAAGATGCTGCAAGAAAAATAAGCAAAGAAATTATTTCCTTCACCTGGTAAGATGTTATGCCACTTCTTTTGATCAGAAAATGACAAGAATAAATTATAGGAAGACCAACTAGGACAAAGACCAACCACCAGCCAGCAAACAAAAAATAGCTAAGCTTACACTTTGGAAAGTTTGAGCTGAAAATGAAATCTAAATGGTATGAAAAATTAAGTGTGGGTGTTTCAAATAGATCTATTAGGCTCTTCCCCAATAGGGGGTGGGATTCCATAAAATTCAGGATTCATATTTTTTGCCTGTGAATCTTTGTCTTGTGTATTAGTTTGTATAATCATATCCACTCTAATCTTGTCTGGATGGTGACATCAGAGAGCGTGATTTGAATACCCTTCCACAGCAAGCTGTAACTTTCAGATTCCAGACTCCACTCTTAAATCATGACCTGTTGGACTGTTTAAAATTCAAATTGTAGGGAATCTGAAATTTACTCTGAAAAAAGTTCTTGTCTGAGAATTAGGAACTATAGCCTATGTAGGCTTGTGCATGCCCTGACTCTGGGTGTACCAGAGTGAGTAGTTATTTTCTCTTACGGAGGATTGTTTAGATATCTTGAAAGTGTGTGAAAGGAATTTTTGATCTCCAAGCCATATTAAAATGACTAAGATTTTAAAGATACTAATTACTGCTGTCCACAGGGAGGAGATCTGAGAGTGGTCATTTTAGTAACACTGCCTTTTTTACCCAGTAGTCTCTTTGTAAAATCCTGTTTGTGAAACTTGGTGTTTAATTTCAGGAATGTGGCTTTTGAGTACATTACCTTAAGAGGCTTCCCAGGTGGCACAATGGTAAAGAATCCACCTGCCAATGCCAGGAGATGTGGGTTCAATCCCTGGGTCAGGAACATCCCCTGGAGTAGGAAATGGCAACCCATTCCAGTATTCTTGCCTGAAAAATTCCATGGACAGAGGAGCCTGGCAGGCTGTAGTATATGGGGTTGCAAAGAGTTGGACAGGAGTGAATGAATGAGCGTCCATGCACATGATCCTCAAAAGGGATGGACATTGCTGTCTGCTATTTTAGGTGTATTAGTCAGCACCAGCTCGCAGTTTCTTAGTAATGGTGACTTGAATTGGAACAGCAGATACAACAAAATATGCTGAAACTTTGTTTTAGGTAAACGTCAGACCTCCCAAACTTTGTATCATTCAGTTTAGTGATTTGATTATCATCAGGTTAGTGACAAGCTGGAATAGAAGGAAAGGTATGAGAATTGAGGAATTCAAGGAGCCATGCATGATGTTGGTCGGTGGTCATGAAGTAGCAGAGGAAGAAGAGACTGTAGACCACTTCTCAGATGTGTGTTTTGTATGCCTCCTCCACCATCTGTTCTCATTGAGGTAGTGTAGCAGAAACCTGTTAGGTTTGTGTCATTAATACACTGCAGATATTTTCCTTCAATAAATCAGTTATTTGTGCTAGTGATTTGAAAGCCCAAAAGTAAATTGATCACAGACTAGTATGTTATTTGACAGGCTTGGCCATCCTGCTTGCTTAGCTGGAGTAGTGGGGATGCTCTGTAACCTTCCTGTTTAAAAAAAAAATTGTATGTGTCTACTGGGGAGAGGATGTCAGCAAGAAGCCAACTTGACTGTTTTTCTAGTGATGTGATACCTACAAGGACCCACAGCCGGATGACCACCCCTTTCCCCCATTTCCCCAGGCTCGTGAGTTCTCAGTAGGAGCAATTTTGCCACCTAGTGGGAGGGAATTGGTTGGGGGATAGTGCTGGATGACAAATGACGGTCAGGGGCGCCCTGTGTGTAGCTCCTTGAGTGTCCTGAATTGGGGAAACCCCTTGAGTAAATATTTGGTACAGAGCTATGTTTATTGACTGTTGCCCTTTTTATTTTTTTGTTCAGGAGTTGTAGGCAAACACTGCTTCAAAGCAGTTTGTCAGAAGTGGGTGAGAATGATTAATTGGTACTTTAAATCTTCATAATTTTTAAACTTTTGTTGTCTGTGAGAATATCACTAGAAATAAGACTGGCACTAACAGTTCCACACCTGTTGTGTCTTGCCTGAGAGAGAGTTATTCCTTTGTTTGAACCTTCTCTACCCTGGGGACTGTGATGACTATTTATAATTTGTCTCATACAATGCTCATGGCATTCTGTGTCTTGGATGTCTAAAGAAATGCTTTTTTTATATTCATGTACATTTTGTATATATTTGGTAGGCCTAAAGCCTCAAAGCATTTTTCTTTTAAAGAAATAATACATGCCCTCTCTACTCTATTGATTCGGCCCCTTTGCACAGATCAGCCAAAGATTACACAGCACTTTAGGTTGCATTATAACAAATTACAGTATAAGTACAGTTCAAATTAATTGCATTATACTTTATTTGATTACTTAAGTACAGTTCAAATTAATTACATTTTACTTTATTTGGTTACAAAGGGACTAACATCCACTAAGGAACTTAATATCTCTTGTGAATTTCATCATTAAAATGCAATTTTTAAGACATACTTTGATCTTTGGTTACCATAAATTGAAATTGAAAAGGCTCATGATTATATTCCATTTGAATTCAGGTTTTTTATTAAGGGATTTAAGCTTTAGTGATTTTTTTTCATTATTATTACTAATTAAGTTTTTTTTAACACAGCTTCATTGAATTGATATATAATAAACTGCAAATATTTATTTTATCTGTTTGTTAACTTTTTATTTTGTATTGGGATATAGCCTATTAACGAGCAATGTTGTGATAGTTTCAGGTAAATGGCAAGGGGCTCAACCATACAAATACATGTACCCCAAACTCCCCTTTCATCCAGGCTGCCTTATAACATTGAACAGAGTTCCATGTGCTGTACAGTAGGTCCTTGTTGGTTATCCATTTTAAATATAGCAGTGTGTACATGCCCATCCCAAACTCCATAATTATCCCTTTCCCATCTTTCCCCCCAGCAACCATAAGCTCCTTCTTGAAGTCTCTCAATCTGTTTCTGTTTTGTAAGTAAGTTTATTTGTATCATTTCTTTTTAGATTCCATATATAAGGGACATCATACGGTGTTTCTTCTTCTCTGTCTGACTTATTTTTCTCAGTATGACACTCTCTAGGTCTATCCATGTTGCTAAAAATTGCATGGTTTTATTCTTTTTAGTAGCTGAGTAATATTTGGTTGTATATATGTACCCCATCTTCTTTATACATTCTTCTGTCAATAGACATTTTATTTATTTATTTATTTTTTTGGCATGAAAACTATAATATTTTTATTTTTTTTTAATTTTTTATTTTTTTAATTGTAATCTTTTTTTTTCCAGTTCTTTTTTATTTATTTTTTTTTTCATTTATTTTTATTAGTTGGAGGCTAAGTACTTTACATCATTGCAGTGGTTTTTGTCATACATTGAAATGAATTAGCCATGGATTTACATGTATTCCCCATCCCGGTCCCCCCTCCCACCTCCCTCTCCACCTGATCCCTCTGGGTCTTCCCAGTGCACCAGGCCCGAGCACTTGTCTCATGCACCCAACCTGGGCTGGTGATCTGTTTCACCCTAGATAATATACATGTTTCGATGCTGTTCTCTTGATCTTCTGTCAATAGACATTTTAAACTGCAAATATTTAAAGCACACAATTTAATGAGTTTGACACATGTGTACTGTGATGTCATCTACTCAAGAAATATGATGATGACTGTCCATCACTTTCAAAGTTTTCTTGTGCCATTTTGTAGTCCTTCCTTAACCTCCCCCCGAAGGTAACCACTGGTCTGCTCATTTGCTTTCTGTCGCCTTTGATTAGGTTGCTTTTTTTATAATTTTATATAAATGGAAGCACAGTCTTTTTATTATCAGGCAATATTTTTTTTTATTTTTTATTAGTTGGAGGCTAATTACTTTACAGTATTGTAGTGGGTTTTGTCATACATTGACATGAATCAGCCATGGATTTACATGTATTCCCCATCCTGATTCCCCCCTCCCACCTCCCTCTCCACCCAATCCCTCCGGGTCTTCCCAGTGCACCAGGTCCGGGCACTTGTCTCATGCATCCAACCTGGGCTGGTGATCTGTTTCACCCTAGATAATATACATGTTACGATGCTGTTCTCTCGAAACATCCCACCCTTGCCTTCTCCCACAGAGTCCAAAAGTCTGTTCTGTACATCTGTGTCTCTTTTTCTGTTTTGCATATAGGGTTATTGTTACCATCTTTCTAAATTCCATATATATGTGTTAGTATACTGTAATGGTCTTTATCTTTCTGGCTTACTTCACTCTGTATAATGGGCTCCAGTTTCATCCATCTCATTAGAACTGATTCAAATGAATTCTATTAAATGGCTGAGTAATATTCCATGGTGTATATGTACCATAGCTTCCTTATCCATTCGTCTGCTGATGGGCATCTAGATTGCTTCCATGTCCTGGCTATGATAAACAGTGCTGCGATGAACATTGGGGTGCATGTGTCTCTTTCAGATCTGGTTTCCTCGGTGTGTATGCCCATGAGTGGGATTGCTGGGTCATATGGCAGTTCTATTTCCAGTTTTTTAAGAAATCTCCACACTGTTTTCCGTAGCAGCTGTACTAGTTTGCATTCCCACCAACAGTGTAAGAGGGTTCCCTTTTCTCCACACCCTCTCCAGCATTTCTTGCTTGTAGACTTTTGGATAGCAGCCATCCTGACTGGCGTGAAATGGTACCTCCCTCATTGTGGTTTTGATTTGCATTTCTCTATCAGGAAATATTGACTTACATATCCTTTTAGTTCCAGTTCAGACATCATAAGAGATCTTCTAGAAGAAGAAGAAGCCTGGGAAGCATCACATAAGTGAGTTCTCGTCATCACTAAATACTCATGTACTTTAACCTGATAAATTATGGTTCTATACAATTGATTTGCAAACCAAAGAATATTTGTGCTTACTGACTTAAGAAAGTAATTCATGCATCTCAAGATAAAGATTTCCAGTTCACTACTTGTTTCTGTATATTTCTGTGTAGAAATGGAATCCTAGCTTAATAACTCTGGTTACTTGTCAGAAGTTGTTCTTCTAAAGGTAAATTGTTCCAGTGGGCAACTTATAGTCTGGACTTAACAGTCAGTCCTTAAGCACTGGCTTAGAGTCTTTAGAAAACTTCTAATCCTTCCCTAAATGTTACTAGTCATAAGATTGTAGTTCATCCAGGCAGATTTGTTCCACTGCAGTTTCAGGAAGATCACATGCCCCAAGTGGGCCCTCACAGCTGCCTAGCGCTTTTACTGTTCCTGTGATTATTTCTTTGTCTTGCTCTTCACAGAGATTATTCGCACCCTTCTCAGGTCTCAGTGGCTCAAGCCTCACTGAAGACCTTGTCTCTTCTTTGGTAGAGGAAATAGAAGCTGTTGTGTGGGAATCCTTACCCTTCCAACATCGAATGTATAAATCTGCCTGTTTTTGTACATATTTTATTCCTCCTTTTATAACAAAGGGTTGTTCCTATATTATAGAGTCCACTTTTTCCTACCTCATTCCTCCCTTCTTGTCAGGAACATTACCTCTTCTCTCTGCTCTTGTTGAGATACTTCTGCTTCTCTCCTCCACTCCTCTTTCTCTCTCTCACTGTTTTGTTTTTTTTTTTTTAATTTGGTTTTGGCTGCACTGGGTCTTCGTTGCTGTGCACGAGCTTTCTCTAGTTGCAGCAAGCAGGGGCTCCTCTTCATTGCGGTGCTTAGGCTTCTCATTGTAGTGGCTTCTCTTGTTGCAGGGCACAATCTCTAGGCACACAGGCTTCATTCCTCCACAGCACATGGGAATCTTTCCAGACCAGGGATTGAACCTGTATCCCCTGCATTGGCAGGCAAATTCTTTTTTTTCTTTTCTTTTTTTTTTACATTGTAAAAGAACTGATACTTTATTACAGAACATAATTCAAACTATTGTTGGTATTTCAATATATTCCTAAAGAAATGTTGGAATTGGAACAGCACTTATAATTCACTTTATGGCTATGAAAAGGCAGTCATCTTCCACTTAAAACTGTAACCAATGATGAAATACACTTCAAGAATATAAACATTTCTTCTAACAATCTTTTAATATTGGTTAAAAACAGACTTTTTTGCTGATGGAAATGACTCTAATCCAATGTGCAAAAAAAGTACAATTTGTATTTAAGATACATAAGAGCAATGCTTCTGTACTATTTACACATTTAAAAGATCTTAAATGTATTTATTTCAGGAAGGACACTGCTCCTATAGGTAATTACATGTTACTGAGAGCCCAAAAGCTTGATGACACTCTTTAAGTTACACAAATATATCTGAAGAGGCACACCTTTTCTTCTCCTAATCTTGATCCTAAACAAAAATCCACTTTCAGCATCAGTTGGGGATTATTTTATTCTAGGAAATCTTGGCATTGTCGCAGGTTTGCACACCTTGTCTCTGAGAGCCAGATTCCTACATTTCCTTTTCTAACCTTGTCACCACTGGTCCAGCCCACAAATCCCGTGGGCTGCAGAGTAGCCACAGCCAAAATCAGAGGAGAGAAAACTCAGCCCTCAGGCCACCAGCACGGCAGGTGGGTTCTTACGCACTGCTCCACCAGGGAAGCCCCCTCATTGGGTTTTCAGCGAGCCTGAATCTTTCCCAGCTGAACCCAGCCAACTAAACACTTAGCCTCCCCTCTCACTCAGATTCCTCCTGCAGCTGCTCTTGTGTCTCTCCTGCCCTTCTCAGTAGGCAGCCTCTACTTGCCCTTTGCATTCCTCATCTGGCTTACTTGTCAACATCCTCAGCCAGGCCTCTCAGTTCTTCTGAAATAGCCTTTACTGAAGTCACTGAAGACCATGTTGTGCTGTGCTGTGCCTAGTCACTCAGTTGTGTCCCGCTGTTTGTGACCCCATGGACTGTAGCCCGTCAGGCTCTCCTGTCCCTGGGATTCTCCAGGCAAGAATACTAGAGTGGGTTGCCATGCCCTCCTCCAGGGGATCTTCCCAACCCAGGGATCAAACCCAGGTGGCCAAGTCCAAAGAACAACGTGTTAGGCCATATCTCCTTTGAGATTCCTTGAGCGGAATCTGATGCTCTTGATGTCTTCATGTTTCTGAAAGCCTCTCTGGGGCTGAAAGAGGTAAATCTCTACCCTAAGGTCAGTTAATAATAAGTGATAAGTGATAGAACAGAGATTTCAATCTAATATGTCAAAATTCAGCTTTTTTGACCATTAAGCTAAATTGTCTGTCCCAAGAATGAGGCTCACTGTGCTGACATTTTGTAGTATTATCGCTGAATCACTGGGAGAATGGAAAAGGTATTTGATGGCTCAAACAGTAGTGTTTTATGAATGTTTGAGATTGTGGCTGCCTTATTTTCACCTGAGCATTTCTGAACTTTGAATTCTGGGAGAAGAGACCACTCATTAGCTAACTACTTCCTTTTGTGCTATGAATTACCCTTTTCATGCTAAACTAAACCCTCACATCAATGGCTGTGACAAGCTTAAACCCAGAATTCCTGAGTCCAAGCCCATTTTTGGCAATGGTGACCAACCTCTTAAAGTCATTACTATGAGAAATCACTTAGAAAACAAATCCCATCGCTGATCCTCACAGATAGGCATTGTTAAACCTGGAAGGATGTGAGAGCTCGTCTAGTCCAGTTCCTTCATTTTATAGGGAAAGAGACTGAGCTCCAGAGAGGTAAGTTGACAAGGTTAAGGTTCGCAGCTAGGTAGTGGCGCTGCTGGGGTAAGAATCCAGGCTTCCTGGTTTCAGCTGAACGTGGGGCAGTTTGAACCAGCTTATGCCACAGTACAGCTTTAGAAACAGAATCAGGAAAGGACCACACAGCTTTACTTCTCAACAAAATAATAGCTCTGCAAATATGCATCTTAAGCTTATAGGCCTTTTCATACTGTTCATGAGATTCAGAAGAGATTAAGAACAGGTGGCAAGAATACAATGAACTGTACAAAACAGATCTTAATGACCCAGATAACCACGGTGGTGTGGTCACCCACCTAGAGCCAGACATCCTGGAGTGTGAAGTCAAGGGGGCCTTAGGAAGCATCACTATGAACAAAGCTAGTGGAGGTGATGGAATTCCAGCTGAGCTATTTCAAATCCTAAAAGAGGATGCTGTTAAAGTGCTGTACTCCATATGCCAGCAAATTTGGAAAATTTAGCAGTGGCCACAGGACTGGAGAAGTTCAGTTTTCATTCTAATCCCAAAGGCAGTGACAAAGAATGTTCAAATTACTGTACAGTTGAGTTCATTTCACATGCTGTCAAGATTGTGCTCAAAATTCTTCAAGCTAGACTTCTGCAGCATGTAAACCGAGAACTTCCAGATGTTCAAGCTGGATTTAGAAAAGGCAGGGAAGCCAGAGATCAAATTGCCAACATCTGCTGGATCTTAGAGAAAGCAAGGGAATTAAAAAAAAAAAAATCTACTTCTGCTTCATTGACTATGCCAAAGCCTTTGGCTGTGTGGATCACAACAAACTGTGGAAAGTTCTTCAGGAGATGGGTATACCAGACCACCTGACCTGCTTCCTGAGAAACCCGTATCCAGGACAAGAAGCAACAGTTAGAACTGGACATGGAACAATGGACTGGTTCCAAATTGGGAAAGAAGTACATCAAGGCTGTATATTATTTATTTAACTTACATGCAGAGTACATCATGCGAAATACCAGGCTGGATGACTCACAAGCTGGAGTCAAGATTGCTGGGAGAAATATCAACATCCTCAGATACACAGATGATACCACTTTAATGGCAGAAAGTGCAGAGGATCTAAAGAGCCTCTTGATGAGGGTGAAAGAGGAGTGAAAAAGCTGGCTTAAAACTTAGCAGTCAAAAAACAAAGATCATGGCATCTGGTTCCATCACTTCCTGGGAAATAGATGGGGAAAAAGTGGAAACAGTGACAGATTTTATTTTCTCGGGATCCAAAATCACTGCGGATGGTGACTGCAGCCATGAAATTAAAAGATGCTTACTCCTTGGAAGAAAAGCTATGATCAACCTAGACAGTGTTGAGATATCAACACAAAGCAGAGACATCACTTTGCTGAGAAAGGTCCATATAGTCAAAGTTATGGTTTTTCTGGTAGTCATGTACGGATGTGAGAGTTGGACCATAAAGAAGGCTTAGTGCCGGAGAACTGACACTTTCAAACTGTGGTGGTGGAGAAGATTCTTAATAGTCCCTTGGACAGCAAGGAGATCAAACCAGTCAATCCTAAAGGAAATCAGCCCTGAAACTCATTGGAAGGGTTGATGCTGAAACTCCAGTACTTTGGCCACCTGATGCAAAGAGCCAAGTCATTGGAAAATACCCTGATGCTGGGAAAGACTGAGGGCAAGAGGAGAAGGCGGCAACAGAATATGAGATGGTTGGATGGCCTCACTGACTCAATGGAGATGAGTTTGGGCAAGCTCCAGGAGATGATGACGGACAGGGAAGCCTGGCATGCTACAGTTCATGGGGTCACAAAGAGTTGGACACGACAGTGACTGAACAATAACAGCAAAGCTTAAGGTATGTTGTGGTACCGCAAGTGACATGTTTGAGATATTAGTCCTAGAACATGCTGTTTCAGTCCCACTACATCTCCTAATTCCATAAATGATTGAGAGGTTCTTTTAGTAACACAGTGCCCCATATAAAGCAGTATTTTCATAAGCAGCAAAAAAGAAAAAAACCCACCTAAAACAAAACCCTACTTTCTGTAGGTTGGTCTCAGGTTCTTATATCTATGATTATTGGTTCATCTTACCAATTTGAGCTACAGGATATATTTACATTGAATAGGATGAAAATAGGAAGAAAAATGGTCCAGGTAAATCATTTCACGTTTCATGTTTCCAGCTTTCAGTTTCCACATGAAATTGTGGAGGAGATGTTTCTGCCTCCAGGAGTCTGAGTCCCTTCTGCAGACCTGCTCCCCCTCCACTCTCTCCTCCCTCAGTGGGCAGTGGTGTCAACAGTCTTCCCCACTGCTCCAGCCAGAAACCTAAGAATCATTGTCAACTTCTCACCCTCTCTTACATCTCAGATGCAGTTGATTGCAAAACCCTAAGGATAAGTTGTCCTCAGATTTAAATGTACATCAAGACCACTTGGAGGACTTGTTAAAATAGATTATTGGGCTCCACTGAACCCCGAGATTGAGATTTTGGAGGTTTGAGCTGGGGTACAGGAGTTTGCATTTTGACACACTCCCCGGGGTTGCTGATGCTGCTTCTGGGGCCCCCTCATTGAGGAGCGGGACTGTGGATGACCCCTGAACTATCTCTGTCAGCCCCTCTGTGCCATAGTCTGCATAAGACCTTGTTTTCTCTCTGGCTTCCTGCCACAGCCGTCCTTCTGGCTGGCTGTCTCTCTGCCTCTAGTCAGTATGCTTCATTTTGCCAGTGAGACCTGAAAGACATTGTGTTCCCTGTAAAGTCCTGTGGGGACTCATGAGCTACGGCCCCAGCCTGCCCGCTGGCTCCTGGACCGTCCTTCCCCACCCCTCTTTCCTTGTTACAGCCAAGCTGAACTTCTCATCTTTGCTTCAGAGTCATACTGCCTTATACTGCTGTTGCTTCCACCTCAGTTGCCTTTTCTCCTTTCTTCATCCACACAGGAGTTGTGGTTCCTTCCTGGACAGCTCTGCTCGGAATCTCCTGACTGCTCCCTTGATCTTGCAGCACTCTGTCTGCACTTAAACCCCGCACCTTGCACGGTGCCTGGGGGAGGGGAGTCCCAGGGTTGGCACTCAGTAGGCATATGAGATTGAATATGCCAGTCAGCATTCTTTGGATCGGAACACACTCCCGGGTGGATAAGGATTGCCACTTATAAATATTTTTTTAACTCTTTATCTCTTGTGCTTTACCTTTTAGTGCCTTAAAAATCATTTTTTAGGAAATAGCTTTTTCTAATGTTATAAAATGAGAAAGGGAAGAATCATTTTCTCTATTGGTAATCTGCATTTCATCCTAACCCCATGAGAAGTCATTTGCAGTACACTAATGATCCCAACATATTTTCTAGTTGAGACTTGATAATTTGGCTGTCTCTTTTTGGAGGAGGGGACTTTATTAATTGTTATTTATTAAGAACTATTATTAATGTGAACACATCTTAAGTGTACAGCTTGATGGATTTTTCCAACTGAACACACCTAGGGTTAGGGTTAGTTTGGTGGGTGCAGTGAATCATGCCCCCTCAGTACTCACACTCTCAAGGCCCACATTGATTCTGCACTTGGTCATGTGATATGAGAAGAAGCTTGGTTAGTGTTTGCACAGTGGGGCTTGTCCTTTCAGAATGCTCACTTTTTGGATTCTTCCCCTTGGACCCAGCCCTTCCGCTGTGAGAAGCCCGCCCTGGGCATGGGGAGAAGACAATTGGAGGAGAATGGGTCAGCCCTCTCACCAGCCAGCAGCCAGCACCACCTTGCCACCGGACGAGTGAGCCTTCCTTGAAGTGAATCCTCCAAACTCAGTTCAGCTGTCAGTTCTGAGCCCTGCCCAGATCTGGAATCATGACCAGATAAATAATTGTGCTGTTTCCTGAGAATGGTTTGTTATGTAATGGTAGATAAGCAGAACGAATTGAACAAAAAGTTTCTGTTTAGTTTTTTAATTGCCATATAACAAATCACCCTGAAACTTAGAAGCTTAAACCACAGCCATTTTATTTGCTTCTGATTCTTCAGTCTGGGCTGGCCTCAGGCTGCGGGTGGTCATTTTTGTGGCCTATAGCCCACTCGCAAGGCAGATAGAAGCCATGTTCTGCTGAGATGTCTGGACTTCTCTTTCCATGTAGTCTGGGAGCCTGTTCTTCTCCATGTAGTTTGGTCTCTGCATGTGCTCCAGAATCCAGAGAAAGTTTGCTTTTGTCTTCCCACTTACTTGAATGGCAGCCACCTCTTTCCCCCAGCGCTCTGCCCAAAGTGAGAGGATGTGCATGGCCCATCTCTGTTAGGAGGGGGCTTTGTTTTCTTGGTCTCCTTACAACCTCAGCTCTCTGACAGGATTGAGATAAATTTTGGTTTTGTTAGACTCTGGCTTTGTCTTGTTGTGATGGAAACTTTTTTTTTTTGCAGCTTTCTGCATGTGAAGCAGAAGCAAAAAACTGCTAGATTCTGATTGAGAAGAAGGAGATTCAGTTCTTAACTCTGTCATTTAGGATCTGTGATCTTTGCTAAGTCGCTGTTTTCTCAGTTGTAAAGTGGGAATAATAATAAAAATAGTAATAATTATCATAGTAGACTTGTCAGTGGAGTGGAAGGATATTTGGAGTATCCAAATCCATTACAGTAAAAACACATGGGAAAGCACTTATAAACCAGAAACTGCTGTAGAATAATAATGATCATCATTTTCTAAGCTGGCATTTTCTTTTTTCCATTTTCAGAAATGATCTTCAAGACACAGAAATAAGTCCCAGACAGAATCGTCGCACAAGGTCAGCTGAAAGTGTTGAGCTTGAGCCGAGAAATAAGCGGAACAGAAATTAGTGTGGGTTTGCTGACTTTGCCAGTGCAATCATCAGAAGATGGTATTTTGTTGCTGTGTAGATTTCATATTCAAAAATTTCTCAAGTGAAGATGTTACATTCTAAATGTTATATTTAACTGATTTTCAGTCTTTTCTGCCTTTCCAGGAAAACAAAAATCTTACACAGCTTCCTTACTTAGTCAGTTACCCACTGCCCCTAAAACATCTCACTGTAAAAACACTGGCATCCACATGTTCACCAGCTTTGCAGAAGACACAGACTTGTTTTTGTTTCTAAGTTTCAGGGTGTATTAACATTTAAGCCATTCTCCTGTCTCTTTCATGGAGAAGCCAAGTTCAGAAAAGGATCCTTCAGTCCCTCTGCCGCAGGGACCAGTTGAGGTGTCCAGAGCCACTGTGTTTCTGGAAAGGCAAGCAGGGTGTCCTAACTCATGAGGCCTAGAGGCCAGCACCCATGTCACAGCTGTTACAGGATTGTTTGTTGCCCAAGTTTCATGTGGTCCTTAGTTAGACCCATGTCTCACACTTTACTGGAAGTAGGACGTTGGTACTGTAATCTAAAGGCACAAGACAATAAAATACTGGGCATATTCTTCAGAAAATAGCTCTTACGGATGATTTCTTGATCTTTTTCTTCACTTGAGTGAATCGAATCTTTAACACTTTGAATTCCAGCTATGAAATGGAGAGAATGCAATAAATGGCTTTTGTAACTGAACAGACTCTATATCAATTTAAAATAAAGTCCTTGAAACAGTCTGCTGTAAATAGTTGAGTACAAGCTACACATCACTGGAATGGGTTGATCAGAAATTTTTTTCTCTGTGCAAAATGTCCCACAGTTCCCAGTTGCTTCCAGAACTCCTAACGCCTGTTTTGGCATTTCCGAGCCAGTCCCCTGTCATGGGTGCCAGCAGCTCTGGGGCTGTCACTGTCCTGGTGACAGCAGTGTCACTTCACCAGAGTCCAGGAAGACCCTGGTGTTGGTTCAGGGAGAAGGGCCTGCTCTAGGCCAGTGCTCCATCATCTCAGGGCGGAGGACGTGCCGGAGCCCTGCTGTATAAAACAGCACCTAAAATGGATAATGAGGCTGTGGTACATATACACCATGGAATATTACTCAGCCGTTAAAAAGAATTCGTTTGAATCAGTTCTAAGAGATGGATGAAACTGGAGCCCATTATACAGAGTGAAGTAAGCCAGAAAGATAAAGAACATTACAGCATACTAACACATATATATGGTATTTCGAAAGATGCTAATGATAACCCTATATGCAAAACAGAAAAAGAGACACAGATGTACAGAACAGACTTTTGGACTCTGTGGGAGAAGGCAAGGGTGGGGTGATTCAAGAGAACAGCATCGAAACATGTATATTATCTAGGGTGAAACAGATCACCAGCCCAGGTTGGATGCATGAGACAAGTGCTCGGACCTGGTGCACTGGGAAGACCCAGAGGGATCGGGCGGAGAGGGAGGTGGGAGGGGGAATCAGGATGGGGAATACATGTAAATCCATGGCTAATTCATGTCAATGTATGGCAAAAACCACTACAATATTGTAAGGTAATTAGCCTCCAACTAATAAAAATAAATGAAAAAAAAAAAAACAGCAGCACCTAAAATCAGGAAGGACTACGGGGGAAAGTGCTCTCCCATCAGCTCCCAGATGGCCTGGTGTTGCACGATTTCTTCTCTGCTTACCCACGAGGCAGGGCTCTTGTCTGGAAAGGATTCCAGATAAGGTACCTGGAGGTACCATGGGCTCCCTGCTCTGCTCTTGGCATGTTGGGGGCAACACACCGTCCCTGCCTCCCTCTCAGGTTTCTCCACCCCACCCTCTCCCAGGCAGCCACGGTCAGGCTGGCAGATGTGCTCCACTGTATGTAATGGGGGCAGGGGGCCTTCCCTGTAATCTTGGCTTGGCAGCCAGCACTACGCGCCAGACAACTGGCTCATGGGGAAGGAGAGGCATGCGATTTCCTTGCCTATCCTCAGAGAATCCCGCTACATCACTGGACTGAAGTGGTTGGTTCCTGCCCTGCGAGCATCTGCCAGCAAGTTCCTTTGATGCACTGTGCTGAGGAGGATCTGAAGCTGCCACCCACCTTCCTGAGGGCTCAGATGGTGAGTTATTAACACCTAGGCTTCTGAGGCTTGTCATGGAGGGAGAAGGAGGGATGGGGAGGTTGAAAGGGGAGGAGACATCACCTGGGGCTCATCCATGGCTTCCATGGTGATTCCCGGCTCAGGACCAGTTCCTGGGAGTCCTGCCCCTTGCAGACCACAGCGACTTCATTTGCTTGTTTCTTTAACAACTTCATTGAGGTATAGCTCACTTTACATACAATTCACCCATTTACAACTTTCAATTCAATGGCTTCTGGTATATTTTGAGTCCTGCAACCATTGCCGTTAATTAATTTTAGAACATTTTTGTTGGTTTTAGTCCCTTATTCATTATCCCCAGCTCTCTCATCCTTCCCAGCCCTAGGCAATATCTACTTTTTCCCGGTATTTCCTTATTCTGTACATTTCAAATCAGTGGAATCATATACCCTGTGGCTTCTTTCACTTAGCATAATGTATTTAAGGTTCATCCATGTTGTAGCATGTATCATTCCCTCATTTCTTTTAATTGCTGAATAATATTTCACTGTGTGGGATATACCATGTTTTGTTTATCACTCATCAGCTGATGGATATCTGGGTTGTCTTGATTCATTCTGACTATTGTGAATAATGTGCTATTTTGCCCATTTTAAAATTGGGTTTTAGAAAATTATTGCATTGTAAGAGATAGTGTTTAAAATTTCAGTTTCTGTGCATTGATAGGTTAGAAAGATTAAATTGAGTTTTGCATATTAATCATGTATCCTCCAACCTTGCTAAACTAACTTTGTAGAAGTTTGGTAACTTTTTGGTAGATTCCATAAGATTTTCTACATAGAGAATCATCTAAACATGTTACCATGTAAAGAGTTGTATTTCTTACTTTCCAATCTGGATTCCTTTTATTGTGGGTGTAAATTCTCTTATCAGATGCATGCTTTGAATGAGGTTGGAGTATTTGCTTCTATCCCTAGTTTGCTGAGAATTTTTAAAAAAATCAGAAATCGTTATTGAATTTTGTCAGATGCTTTTTCTGTGTATATTGAGGTGATCATATAGTTTTTCTCTCTTTTGGTTGTTAATATTATGAATTATACAGATTGATGATAAATGTTAAAACAGTAGTAGGAGAGACCCTACCTGGTTATCTCTTTATTTCTGTTGGATTTCATTTAGAATTTTTTGTATTTATGTTCAGAAGAATATTGATCTGTAGTTTTCTTGTGATGTCTTTATCTGGTTTTGGTATTAGGATAATGCTGGCCTCATGGAAGGAGCTGGGAAGTATTTCTCCTTTTCAGTTTTCTGGAGAAGTTTGTGTAGAACTAGTATTATTTATTCCTAAAGTGTTCAGTAGAATTCATCAGTGAAGCCATATGCATTTTCTTTGTGGATAGATTTTTAACAATACATTTGATTTCTTAACTAACAGATATAGAACTATTCATGTTACCTGTTTCTTAAGTAAACTATAGTAGTTTGTGTCTTTTGAGGAATCTGTCCATTTCATTTAAATTGACAGATTTACAAGCAAAAGTTGCTCATAATTTTCCCTTTTGTGTACGTTTTGTGAGAACCTCTCTCACTTTTCTCATTTCTGTTATTGATAGTCAATGTTTTCTTTCTTTTTCCTCATTAGACAGTTTAGAAGTTTATTATTTTCATTGGTCTCGGGGGACACTCTTGGTTTTGTTGAATTTCTGTAATATTTTGCTCTTTTCTGTTTGATTGATTGCCACTCTGATCTTTATTATTTCCTTTCTGCTGCCTACTTTGGATTTAATTTGTTTCTTTTTTTTTTTTTTTGTAGTTTCTTAAGGCTTAGGTCATTGATTTGAGCCCTTCTTTTTTAAGATAGTCATTTAATGCTATAAGATTTCCCCTAAGTACTGCTTTAGCAGCATTCCACAAATTTTTGTATGCTGCGTTTTAATTTCGTTCAGTTCAAAATACTTTCCAGTTTCCCTTTTGATTTCTTATATGACACTGAGTTTTATATAGCTGTGTTAGTTTCTAAATGTTTGATAATTTTCCAGAGGGTTTTTTTTTTTACTTGATTTCTAATTTAATTCCATAACTTTTACGACTTGAACCCTCTTGCATGTATTGAGACTTTTTTTTTTAATGCCCTAAAAATGGTCGTTTTTGGTAAATGTTCAGTGTGCACTTGAATATATGCTCTGCTGCATCAGGTTGCTTGACAGTGTTACTCAAGGCTACTCTGTCCTTGCTAATTTTGTCTGCTTATTCTATCAGTTTTTGAGAGTTACTGAAATGTTTGAATATAATTGTGGATTTGTCAGTGTCTCCTTATAGTTCTTCAGTTTTGCTTCATGTCTTTTGAAGCTTTGTTATTAGGGGCATAAACATTTAGGATTGTTATGTCCTCTTGATGAATTCATCACTTTTTTTCCACAAAGTAGACCTTCTGTTTCTATATTAATATTCTTTGCTCTTAAATCTACCTAGTTTGGCATTAGAATACTCCTTCCAGCTTGTTTTTGGCTAGTGCATTTTTCCATCTTTACTTTTTAAAATTACTATTTTTTTAATTTTCATTTTTTTAATTGAAGTAAATTGATTTACAACATTAGTTTCAGGTATACAACATAGTGATTCAATATTTTTTTGTATTATATTCCATTTAAAGTTATTATAAAATATTGGCTGTATTCCCCTTAGTATACAATATATCCTTGTAGCTTATTTATTTTGTACATGGTAGTTTATACCTCTTAATCCCCTGACCTTATCTTGCCCCTCCTCTGCTCCCTCTCGTTAGTGGTAACCACTAGTTTATTCTGTATATCTGTGAGTCAGTTTCTGCTTGTGGCTTTATATTTAGAGTATGTTTCTTGTAGGCGGCATATATAGTTGAGTCTTG